TTTGGTATGTAGGTTGCCCTTTATCCAAGGTAAGTTGGTATTAAAAATGGGCGAATCTGAATGTAACCACGCCCATTTCCGATATAAAGGTATTTTCTAAAGATGCAAAAACTACGATATTTCAGTAAATATTGGATGCAACTTGTTCAAAATTAGTATGTGAAGTAGAATTTTTGTAAAAAATATTATTGTGCAATTTTTGGAAAATGGGCGTGACCGCGCCCACCTATTATGAAATGCTGCATCTCAGTAGCTCATTCACCAAACTCGCTACGAGCCTTATTTAGGGTCTAGCTAAGAAATCCGTAGAAAATCTAATTAAAAAATTAGATTATGATAAATTTTTGGATAATGGGCATGGCGCCGCCCACTTATGACCACAAATTTGTAACTCGGTAACCTATTTATCAATTTCTACCAAACTCTGTGCACTTAATAAACCTGGTACGGAAAAGCAATTCGTTGAAAATTATTCAAATCGGACCAAAATTACATTCGCTTCTCGTATATCTAACGGTAAATTTCAGATCTCTTAATCTCTTAAATAAGACTGCGTGTCGCCGCCCAATTTATGACTACAAGGTGTATTTCGGTAGCCACTTTAGCGATTTCTACTAAACGTGGTTCAATTATTTCATTGAGTTTAACTCAGGATATTATCGAAAACGTTTGAAATCGGGAAAAGCCCCTGCTTACGATAGTATTTGATACCTGCGCCGGGTAGATAAAGTTCGGTTTCGCCCAAACTTTACCTCTTTACTTGCTTTTAATTATTTTCTTTTATAAATGGTACATAAATTTACGACTTAAAATAGTTATTTTTGTTAATAGCAATGAAATAAAACTGTATTAGGTTTTAATTCATTTTAAAACAATAAAATATATTTAAAGTAAACAATTAAATCTTTTAACAATAAAAAATAATGGAAAAAAGGTTGATAGAAAATGTGCTAAGTCCACATTAAAAGAATAAAATCTTAAAGAGAAAATGTGGTAAGTCCTAAAAGAGCCTATAAGTCTGCAACAGCTTTATTTTGAAATTGGTCGATTATTGGTACTAAAACAAGACGAACTAAGGAATAAAACTGCATTTACAGATTAGAAAAATATTGACAACAAAAAAAGTTAGAAGGTTTTTTGTCCCTCCTGAAAAATAAAAAAAATGGACTTAGCACGTTTGCGAACTAAGCCAACGATATGTAGCTCTAGCCCAACAAAAAGTACGATTTAGTCAGAATTTCAAATTTATTTCAAGGTCTATTTCATTAGATCAATTAAATAAATTGAACTCCTTGGTAAACTGTAAGCCTGCTGCAATGCAATCGGATTGAATGCGTTTCTAGAAAGATATCAAGTTGGGACATTCCGAAATTCTATGCACGTAATTTTTCGAGAACAATAATAATATATCGGCACTTATGTATATACGGTGATCATCGGTCCTTTATTTTAAAGGACAGTCCTTTTTTTAACCCCCTGTCCTTTATAATTTTTTTCAAAATAAAGGACGGCTTTTTTCCTTTATTTCTTAAACTGTCCTTTAAATCGGCTCTGAATTTTTCAGAGGTAAATTTTTAAACGCAGAATATGAAAAATAAATATGTCCATTATAAAATATAATGAAAACTTTCGCCAGTTTGTTTCGCACCCCACTTAATTATAATAAGCTGATAAATATTTGATTTAAATTACGATATGGCAAGGTACTTTTATCATACAAGTTGTATGTAAGTATTCCCAAATCATTTTGAAAAAAATGTCCTTTATTTTACGATGATTAATATGGTCATCGTACACTTAAACATATGTTAGTGTTTGGCCGAGCTTCTCCTCCGACTTGTGGCGTGCGACTTGATGTTGACACACAAAGGGGAGGGACCTACACCTACTCCTAACGACGATTGTATTTTTATGAGGAGCTATTTTTCATGACAGAAATACCCTCAGAAGTTTGCCTTTGCCTACCGACTGGCGACCGCTATTAGAGAAACCGTTTTTTCTTGATTTTGGGCTTAACCCAGGCCCTGCGGAATGTTAGCGCACATTGCCAACCACTACAAATTTCGGAAATGACAAAATAAATAAACTCGAGAAATGTACTTTAGTTTTGTTAAACGGATTCTTTTATTTAACCTTATCCTCAGTTTTGCCAGAAAACTAAGAGAGCCACTTCGTGCGAAAATGAAGCTCGTGATAAGGCTGATCCCAGGCGAATTTATACAAAGTGGTAGCGCTAAAGCAAATACAACAGTCCCATGTAATTTGCATTCCGGGTGTTATGTCAAATCTCATTTCGCCCCAAAGAGTATATATGTATGTATTTTGTTTTTGCTTTTGATGGGTGTGCTGTCAAATCAATAAAAGAAAAAACAAAATACATATAAGGCGAAGAAACCAGCTGATCTAACAAAACCACCTTGTATAAATTCGGCTGCTATGGAATTTTGAAATGCGTCGGCAGCTTCCTAACAGGAAACCGACCTTTGCTTAAGGTGTTTGTGTGAGTTTTTTTTTAAATATTTTTCATTAATTCAAAATCGTTTTCAAATACTCTAATCTCTGAATAAATATCCAATTTTACTTTAATGGCGCCTCAAAGTTTATACGAAATAATTTTCTTCATTGCAGGTGCTCAGTCTCAACCTTACTAATTTACTTATAATCATTTTGCTAAAAATACTAATATTTGCCGCTGGCATGTTAGGCGCTAGCCATTGGGGTGCTCATGGATATGGTTATGGACGTTCGAGAAGTTCAGAAGGTAAGACATAAAAATGAATATTTTAGCGTATTCGCTTTATTTATATGTATATACTTCTCCGTAAGTTCAAAATTGCGGGAATTTTTTTTTCGAGATTTTCGAATATCATGACGAAATAAAAAAATAGGTGTCTTCTTTTTTATTGATAAAGAATTTAAAAAATAATATTTCACCCCCAAAAAATATTGAGGTGTATATATTGTAAGGAATACATAATATCGTCTTCATCACTGGCAGAGCAAGTGTTCGTCGCATTCGATTTTCTCTTAGTCTGGTCAGTTTCGACAAAAGTCGTCAGCTGGAATTCCGATTCTTCTTGCGTGTATTACCGGCCACTAGTAAAAATTCGAGCAACCCGACTGAGTTGAGAGTGTTCGACGAGAATAAGGGCGCTGAGCATGTCCGTATCGAGTCTGGATCAGATTTGATGTGCTAGCCCACATATTGGTTCTCGGTCCACCTTCTGTTTACCAGTTCGATAAAGTAGGTTTTTAGCCACTGTTTTCAGTATGAAAGCAGCATAGATTTTTGAGGCTATAAGCCATGTTCCAGTCCTGTTGAACTCATCTGTCTGATGATTAGATGGTATAACAGTGTCTCGTGAAACCCAAATCTCTCTTGTGGTATATTGTAGTTTCCTAGATCTTTATTTCAAGTGATTCACCTTTCCAAAATGATACCCACATACGAACTTCGGCCGATAGTGTGATTGTAACCTGGAATCCTCCTAATTTTTCTCTTATTCGTGAAGGAAACCATGTCTGCCTTTGCAGACTTGCTTTTAGACCGTCAGTCAACAGACGTCTTAAGCATGTGCGGTTTATTAAATTTTGTATTTTTTAGAAAACATCAATTTTGGCTTAAGTGATGGTGAGGATTACCTCATCACTGGATTTTTAGCTGCTCAAGGAATAGGACTGGACGATTGTCTATATGCAGCGGCGTGCGCCAGCCCCAATGTAGCTTACGAATATGCAAAAGCGGCGAAGGCACTAATTGACGGCATCGAAAAGTATGAGGGGTAAGTAGGTTCATGAACTTTTAACATACATACTTAGATTTGTGACAAGCTACTCAAATACTATATTTATATACACTGCCGGCAAAAATTATTGGCTTAGCTGCTTTCTTACAATATATGTAACAATTTTTATTGGAATATTTTTCCACAATTTTTTATAAAAATGTGGTTCATTCCACAACAAAAAACATAAATATATAATTTCTAAACTTTGTGCAAAACTCGCGAAAATTCAGCAGATTTTCATGCAAATTTTAAACTTTTTAATTAGATCTTTTAGAATTTTTTTGTGTATAAAGATTTGTAGCCCAATCAATTTTTTTGTATAAAAGTAGAAGCTCTAAGTAGCTACGAATTACCATTGATGTTTGGAAATTTTTTTCACGCATTCTCTTCTATCCAAAAAAACTTGCGAAAATACTTTGTATGGACAAAATGCAAAACACCTTCAACGAGAAAAATTCTCAAAAATCAATTCGATTTGTGGCTAATTCCGAACTAGCATTTTTTTATACTAGAATTTAATGGGCTTCAAAACTGCATGCTCAGAAAATTCTAAAAAGTCTGAAAAAATGTTGAAATTTTGCATGAAAATTTGCTGAATTTTCGCGAGTTTTCCACAAAGTTCAGAAATTATTTTTTGTTTATGTTTTTTGTTGTATAATTAATCATATTTTTTTTTTTTTAAATTGGCGGGAAAATATTAGATTGAATTGTTGGATATTTTGTAAAAAAGCAGTTGTGCCAATACTTTTTGCCGGCAGTGACCATACATAAAGAAAAAATTTATTGAGAAGATGAAAAAAGGTGGATGGCTTGTAAAATAGACATATATGTATACCTATATATATATATATATTCTAAAACTTGTAGAATCTAGCACCGATATTTTTACATTGTTTTCTTCTTTTATGTTCAGCAATGTTTTTAATAATCCTCGATACAACGATCTGATAATGCTGCTCGAGAAGGCATCCTACGATGGTTTTCGCGGTTCATCCTGCAACCGATCATTGAAATGCGATAGTCTCGTGTGAGAAAATGTCCACAACAACACGCAATTACCTACCGATCAGAATGACATAAAATACATACACTACATCAATTAATTTTAAAATTATTTTATTATTATCGTATTGTAGTCGATAGTAAATTACATAGTAATAAATGAGCAATTTTTTTGATTTGTTAATTTTACTATTATGTTATTATGCTAGCATTGTTCAAAAAAATTATCGCGTGGTAGTTATTTACAGTCTTAATAAGTTGCTTTGCTTCGTTATTACAAAAAAGGTAATATCATAACTATATATTGTACACGCATACACAGGTATGTATGTATGTATGCATATGCGAATGTATTTAAAAAACTCCTTGATAATACATGCAATATTTCTGCAAAAAGTGTTTGGAAAAACTGTGTATAATTCTTTACACGTACATATATATGTTTGTATGTATGTATATCTATATTATGTTTCTGTTATCTTTCTTCTTTTGGCATAACATTAAATAATTTACTTTTTTATTTATAACGTTGAACTAATTTTCCTAGCACTAACTGATATTTATCTCTCGTGGCGTTTTTGATTTATATTTTTTCTTATTTACTATAACTATTTGCATTTTTTTTTTTGCTCACACAAGTTTACTTCTATTGATCCTCGGGCACACCAGTGACCGCCTTCACATACTCTGGATAATGCAGAAAGCCATCCTTATTAGCATCCGCAATTTGCAGGAACTCATCAATAACCTCTAGAATGGGTAAAATCTGCTCTAATGTTAAAATTTCCGATTTCTATCTTGTACTTTATCTACCAATGATATGATTCAATTCCTCGGTGGCATTGTGGAGGAAATTGTCCCGATCCACTTTTTTAAAGTGTTCATCCTGATGTATAGCCGCTTGGAGCATCTCAAGCCCATCCAGAGCGTTGTTATTGTCGCTGTCATGAATCTGTAAAATAATGAACATTTATAGTAACTATACGTAAAGAAAGAGGCACTTATAAACAATCTAAAACGATATCTTTAAAGCGTCCAATTTGGGAAAGTCGCATACCATTGCCGAGTGTTTAGCGGTGCGCACTACACCCGCTAACACCAAGTTTCAATCCCTAGCCTGAGCAATATCTGTAAAAGTGTTTTACTAATACCGGTCGCCCTTTGGCAGGCAATGGCAATTGTGTTTTTCTGCAACAAAGAAACTTCTCAAAATAACGATGCTTATTCTACGGGACTATCGACCTGGACCACAGTAAGGATTATATGTTAAAGCCGTAAGCTGGGTAGTGGTCCTATTGTGGTATCGTAATACTTTTATTAGCACTTTACATACATTTTGTTAATGCTCTTGAGCTATTCAAGTACGATGGCCACGAGTTGATAAGGTGCTTGTGCAGAAAACGGATTATTATATCAGCTACCAATTTTGAAAATTCCGGATTTTTAGTACCGGTTCACGTCCATTTCTTTTATTATGGTTATTTCAAAAATTAAATGTTTTTTTTTTGTTTGTACCAGTTACTATCAGGGACCCCGGACCTGTATACATTTTATGATAAAAGTCGTTAAAAAAAAAAAAATATTTTTGAACTTTTACAGTCTCATTCTTTATCTCAAACGACAAGCCACACAAATTATTTGTCTACTGACTTCATGGTTTCTCCTTGCAATTTTGTAACGCTATGCTTCGTCTTTGTCTCGCTTGACGACGATTACGTTGCACTCATCTCGGTTACATTGAAACCGGCTAGAATGTTGTCGAAAGTCGAAAAATTAACCCTGTTAGTAACCAGAAGACCCGAATTTTTAGTACCGGTTACAAATTTCGTAAAAAGTGCAGTGGTTCCGCCCATTTTTTAATTTAAATAAAAATATACTTTGCATAAATATTTTTCTTTATATACATTCTCTGTTCTTCTCTTCTTTTTTGGCGCTGTAACCGCCTAAACGATTTTGGCCGAGTTCATCTAAGCACGTCGTTTCTCTTTTGTGCCACCTGACGCCAATTGGAAACGACAAGTGAAGCCAAGTCCTTCTCCACTTGATCTTTCCATCGCAGTGGGGGCCTCCCTCTTCCTCTGCTACTACCAGCGGGTTCCGAGTTGAATACTTTCAGAGCTGGAGCGTCGGTGTCCATTCGAATGACATGACCAAGCCAGCGGAGCCGCTGTATTTTAATTCGCTGCACTATGTCCATGTCGTTGTAAAGCTCATACAGCTCATCGTTCCATCGTCTGCGGTACTCGCCGTCGCCAACGCGTAAAGGCCCGTAAATCTTCCGCAAAATCTTTCTCTCGAATACTCCAAGAGCCACTTCATCGGATGTTGTCATTGTCCATGCTTCTGCGCCATATACCAGCACGGGCATGATGAGTGACTTATAGAGCGTGGTTTTCGTACGTCGAGAGAGGACTTTACTCCTGAATTGCCTACTTAGTCCAAAGTAGCACTTGTTAGCGAGAGTGATTCTGCGTTGGATTTCCATGTTGACATTATTATCGGTGTTAATGCTGGTTCCCAAGTAAACGAAATTCTCTACTTTCTCGAAATTGTAACTGTCAACAGTGACGTGGGTGCCAAGGCGCGAATGTGCTGACTGTTTATTTGATGACAGGAGATACTTCGTCTTGTCCTCGTTTACCACCAGACCCATCCGCTTTGCTTCTCTATCCAACTTGGAAAAGGCAGAACAGACTTCGCGGTTTTTGTTACCGATGATGTCGATGTCATCGGCATAAGCCAGCAATTGCACGCTCTTGTAGTAAATTGTTCCCGAGCGGTTAAGTTCTGCAGCTCTTATTATTTTCTCCAACATCAGATTAAAGAAGTCATATGAAAGGGAGTCGCCCTCTCTGAAACCTCGTTTTGTGGCGAACGGCTCGAAGAGGTCTTTCCCAATTCTGACGGAGCTGGTGGTATTGCTTATCGTCATTTTACACAGCCGTATGAGTTTTGAGGAGATGGCTAATTCAGAAATAGCGGCGTATTGGCAACTCCTTTCAGTGATGTCAAAATCGGCTTTAAAGTCGACAAATAGGTGGTGAGTGTCGATCCTTTTCTCGCGGGTCTTTTCCAAGATTTAGCGTTTTGTGAACACCCGGTCTATGATGGATTTGTCAGGTCTAAAGCTACACTGATAAGGCCCAATCAGCTCATTGACGGTGGGCTTCAGTCCTTCACACAATACGCTCGATAAAACCTTATAACCTATGCTTAGAAGGCTGATCCCGCGGTAGTTATTTATATCAATTCAGTAACTAATAATTTAAATATCGTAGTTTGCATTTTTTTTAAATACTGTAATATATAGAAAGTGGGCGTGGTTATTAACCGATTTCAAAATTTTCCAACACTTTTCCTAGTATGTAATACTATGAGAAATACTTTTACCAATGTTATGAAGAGATTCGTTAAATTATTGAAATTGGTAACCGGTACAAAAAAAAGCGACTTCAATTTTGAAAAACCCATAATAATATAAAAGGGCGTAATCATTTTGCTTTTCTAAAAATTGGTAACCGGTATCAAAAACCCGGGTTTTTTGAAATTGGTAGCCGGTAAAAAAAGTCCGATTTATTTTTTGAAATCACCGTCAATTAGTGCTTGCAGTAGTGACGTTTCAATAAATTACGACCACATCCTGCATATTTCTACATTTTTCCATTTGTGCGCCAGTGCTAGTAGCTGCGATGCGGTAATTGCCAATAGATTTTAATTAATTAAAAATATTTCCAGTCAAATTGGCAGTTACAGCCTTTTCTTATTTTGACTAAAATATCTTTCTGAACAGCGGGGTACCTTTTTTATCCTGTTTGGAAATTTGTCCACCTTAAGTGCTATATTGACTCTACTAATTCGCCATTGCGGAAGTAAACTCAGGCATATTATGCTACATACCTCTTGGTATTATGTGTTATTATACGCATACAAACGCGCGTGAGAAGACTCGATTCACTTAAACTCATATGTATGTATGTATGTACCTTGAAATAGTAAAAATTCTTTTCCTCCTCAGACATATCTTCCAAATTCACATTTATGCCCATATCCTTTAGGTCATCATCAATGTGGCTGTAAGTAAGGTATTTACATATATATTTATAAAGTAGTTCTTAAGTACAACTCTTCTTTGGTCCAAAACTCACTGCTCTTCGTGCGTCAAATGCTGATCTACTTTACGTGTTCTTGATGGCTCACTACGTGGATGATGCGGTCCACGTTTAATGGTCAAACAAGGATCCATGGTTTGACTGAATGTAGCAATACATATTATAAAATTTACAAAATTCAACATTTTACACATTTTTACACAATCTTAAGCGCAGCTTGTTAACTTTCGTTGAAATTTTACAATATTTCTTCGTTTATAAAACTATTTATTGATTAGAGGTCGAGTACTTTTATTCTCACTGCAGTGAAAATCTGCAGGCGTGTTTTTCGCTGCCACTAAAATCAATAAAGCATTCACAGCGCAATGAACGGGCGGCAGTGCGCATGTCATGCAAATCTGTTTGACAGTTCTGAAACGCTAATTACACCCACAACAGGAAGGGTGTTGCTTTGTGACAGCCAATGGGCCACAGCTGTTGCATCGTTGTCAATGTGACACTTGCTTATCGCGCAACAGGAATGTTAAGGCTTAAGTGCCAGTATGCTTCCAAACTTTTCGAACTTATTCCATTTTGTTGCTGCAGCAACAAACGTTTGTTATGTCAATCAAATTCCATTTGAAAGCTTTCTACAAAACGCGCAAGAGAATACAAATTCTGACTTTTGGCAAATAATTGTGTACACTTTTTTAAGCGCGTAATCCACTCGTCCTTGCAGCCAAATAAATTCGTATTTCCTGCGTTTTTTTTAGGTCACAAATTGTTGCATTAAATACAAAGTAATTAAAGTACCGCGCAAACATTGATTCTATGCAGAAATGTGTGAACACTACTGTGACGATTTGGATACTTTTAATCCAGAAAAAGAATACCAAAAATTTTTGAAACGTAAACCCATCATACAAACGGCTAAGTTGTATGAGCAGCTGCACACGCGTGAGAAGATCAAGTGCCCTTGTACGTCTGGAAATTGTAATATTCTATGTGTGCAATTTTGTAAATGATGTTTTTTCTTCTTTCAGACAACTTTAAAGGCTATGGCGTTGAGACAGACAAGAACACCATGTATCGCACTTGCAATTCAGAGTATGGTTACTACGCACCGAATGCCTACACAATACCTACGCGCTACTTTCCACTCTCCCAGAAATTCTCCAATGAACTTCAACGTTGCGGCATGTACCGCAATTTCTCACTCAACACTCTAATGGATCGCTCCTATTTCTGAGAAAAGTTGAAAGTTGTATAGCTTTTTGGTTTCTGAAATTCCAAGGATGTGCGTAAGAGGCTTACCTACTTAACACAAGTAGTATGAATAAATCTTTTCATATAAATTAAATAATGTAATAAACTAAACTATCTAACTTATATGTATCAATAAAACAATATCCCGACAGCTACTAATTCGGTGCATGGTTGTCAAGTGCTAAAGCGATTTCGCTCCACCTCTTGAGAATTTTTTTATTGGCTTAGAACTTATCTTTTTTGGTCACAAATTCAATAACATATGTCACATATCGTTGCCTAAAATGTAAAAGGCCGTAACGAACAAGAAATTCAAAATCTAGTTTGTGATTGATTATGATGCATTTTATCGAATTGCGAGTTCCCACAAGTTGTATTCTTATTATTTGTATTATGCAGAAAAAAAAGTTTGTTAGTTACGGATTTTCGCATTTCAGGTGACAATATATGTATATATATACATTAGACCACGCCAAAAAAAAAATTAAAATCCTGCAATGCGACCGCCATCTGACTCAGACTTTAGTATTTGGTATAGTTATGATCCTAATTTTTCTTGTAGGAATTACACTTAAGAAAATAAGTGATTCACTTTTGAGGCCAATATAATTTGTGTGTGGCGCTATATATATACATATATATAGACAGTACATGTTTTAAAAAGCAGACCAATTGGCTCATAGATCTTCCGATGGAAATACCCATATAGTTACATAAGTGATACACATTTTTGGCTTCGTTTTCTGCATAAACATTCGCAGTCTGGTCTTGACAAAGGGATCTATTTTCGCCAATTTTTATATTAATGAAAAGCTTAGAAATTTTGTCCAACTCATTGCCAGGAACACTGACTTCTATACAAATTCACTGCATTAATCAAAAAGATCAAAATACTTTATTGCAGTTAATTGCATCTAACTGCAGTGGGTAGTGGCTGGACATACAATTTTATTTTTTTTTTTATCGGGAAGGCCTCTTTCAATTGGTACTATAACATAAAAAATTATTAAAAAAAAATCCGAGATCAAAAACCCAAATGCGGTCAGAATTAAGCTGGAATTCCAGCTACGCATTTTCGTTTAATTGATTAGGTTGTCCAATTGAAAGAGTATCGATTGATTGAATACCTGGATAATTGGACCAAAAATTTAGAAATTTTTCAACTTTAATTAATCATGGAATACTGTAAATAAAATAAAATAAAATCTAATATCGCTGGCTTAGACTAAAATGTTGATGAGCCCACTTTTAATGAAAACTCATATTTTGATATAGGAAGCAAGGGATATTAAAAATGCATCGTTTCGAAAAGGATTAAGGTACTTGTATAATTTTTTTCTCTCATTTAAATTCAATGAAAAGCAAATTTTCTTAGTCCAAAAGTGGCACCGAAAATCCAAAAAACCGAAATAATACCAGATCTTTTAATAAAGATCGAATTCTCCCTATTCGTATGGAGTTTTGCTTTGCTTTAAACACACAAAATGTTGTACTCGCAGACTTGCGAAATACTTAAAGGAAAGGGCTATACGAATTTTTCCCTCCTATAAAATTAAAAAAATTTTACTTAGCAACTTTGTAATGTTTGTAATTAAAATTTGTATTGGTAATTTTAAGAATTTTTTTGTATAGTAGGGCTACTTGACTTCGCCTTACAATGGCAGTGAATGAGGTTGTTCACACTTTCCTGGTTATCAGGTTATCTGGTTAAAAATTATTATTGTGTAGTGTATTTCATTGTTGTAAGCTGAATAAAAAATATAACCACATAAGCTGATAACCAGGCAAGTGTGAACAACCTCAATATTTTCTTATTGCAACAATAGAAAGGAATACTTCCAAATCACTAAAATTTCCAAAGCAATTGAAAAATTCGGTTACTTAATGAAATTTATTCGCTTGAAAGTGAATATCCCTATTCAAGCATATATTTATTTGTCTTGAACTTTGGTTGACTTTTTGTGCGCTAGCTTATCTTTCAAGCAACATTTCATAGGCATTCTACAAAATAAAATAGTCAAAAGTTTAAAAGAAAATAGAACAAAAAAACTTACGCATTCGATAAAAATTCAAATTTCGTATACATTCCGCAATCGGATAGACAAACAGTTAGGCAATTACACAACGCATGCAGCACGTCCAACTGAAAAGCCCCAAGAACAACAAGACTAACAACATGAGGTATGTTTTACGCAATGCCGAAACCGAAACTGATAAGCCACAATCAAGGCAAAATTTCCAAACCTACTTCTGAGCATTTACCCACGCTTTTAAATATTTACCTTTCGTTATGCACAGCGAGTTAAAGCAATTGTTAAGCGCACTATTGTGGGACATTTACGGCAAACAACGAAGAGAGCAACATTCGCGTCGCTTTGAAAAGTATTACGGTATATTTAGTAAGGACGATCCTGATATGGCCGATTTTAGTTCGTTAAAATTTGCTAGCAGCGCTAAGGATTTGGAACATTTGAGTGTTCGCAGGTTAATCGATATTTGTGCGATCCTCAAGGTTGAGATACGTTTGATGGGTTACTTTCTGGAACGTGTGCTGATTTCGCGGGAACGCAATAGACGGCATCAAGAAGCATTAAGTGCCTTTGTGGATGCGTTGCTGTTCGTCCGCTTTCGTAAGTAGGAAATAATTTTTGTCTTTTTATTAAATCTGATTAGCTCAGCTCAAAGTATTCATAAAATTTTTTGAATATTACTAGTAATGGCTATGGATACTATCGATGAATATAGTAGACTAACAGGAAGCATAAATGATAACTGCTCTATATAACTATTCTACTAATGGCACAAATAATTTGGCCACTAAAGTGATAATAAAAAGTCGCATAAAGCTAAAGCTTAACCCAAATATTTTGCAAATTCTCTTAAAATTATATTGAAACAAGTAAAGAAGTATAAGTTCGGGCGCAAACGAACTGTAAAATACATGATAGGCAGGGGTGTTTTCCCAATTTCAAATAGTTTTGATAAATGCTATATCAGACTTATTGAAATAATTCGACTAAGTATGATGGAAATCAATAAAGCTGCTACCGATATACACTTACACACATGCATATGTAGTCAAAACTCGGTGGAACCACGCCCATTTGCCAAAAATCTATAATCTTGTTTCTTGTTAAGGAAACTTTGTAAGCATTATGTTTTACTACCAATGAAGAAAACGTGATTTACGTTTAAAGTTTAAAATTGGATTGAAAACTAAGAAATATTTTTATTTTTTTTTATTTTATGTAAATTTATGTAAATAAGTAATTTTTTTTGGAAAATTGTCCTGCATTTTCAATCCACATTTATGGTCACCGTTACTCCCACGTAATGTACGAGAACGGTGTGTCGTATGAGTAACATTATTTCCTGGCCCTATTTCTCACAAAAAATGATTGCACATTTTCATTTAACCATTCAGAAAAACAAGTTTTAATAAAAATTTTAAAAATTACACAAGATTTGTTATTTTTTTGCTTGTTAAAGTTTAAATTTTTTTTTCATAAAAATTAAAATATCTTTGGAAAATGACCTGACCCGGAGAGATGGTACACAGATCCGTAATATATGTCCAAATCTTTAGTTCAGGTGTTTCGGCGTTTTTTTTTTTGAGTAATTTCAAAACTTTTTCCTTACAGTGTTTGCACATTTTATAAGCAGCACCATATAAATCCATATTTTAAACTTTGTACAAAAATTATAAAAGGTCAACAAACTTTACTAAATACACCCGAAAATTTCAAAGTTGTTAATACTTAATACTCGGCAATATCTTTTATATGGAGAAAATGTTTACCACCGCCAGCAAACAAAAAAAAAAAATACTAATAAAAATCAGCACGATTTTCTAGCGTCTTGAAGTTTACACTATATCCTACTATCCTATATCCTATCCTAAAATTGAGTGGATTATAAAATTGCATTCTTAAAATTTTTCTAACAATTTTGAATAAAAAAGTTGAAACTTTTGGGTGTGATTTGTAAAGTTTTTTTTAACTTTTATAATTTTTGTACAAATGTGGATTTTGGTGCTGATTATACTATAATTTGCTAGACCTTTATAAACAAAAATTAATAATCATTAAATAACTGAAAGAAAAATAGCCGATTTCACTTACCTAAATCAGCTGACTCAAGGGTATGTATTTAGATGAACATATCGCATGATTGATAATAATGACAATTATTTCATTATTTCACGTCAAATACAGAGAATTACTTATTTAAAAAATTTAAATTTTCGGGAAAACGATATCACATTTTGGTCAATACATACAGTGATGTGCTGAGTATCCAATACTTTCGATATTCGGTACCGATATGTTGAAATTTCTAATACTTCAGAGCGAATAACAGTAAAAAAAATGGAATAAACGCAGTTCAGGAAAGCTATGGGGCTAATAGAAAATATAATCATACTTACAAAGCAGTGATTCCCAAAGTTGTCCACGTGGACCCCCAGGGATCCACGGGTGACTCGCCGGGGGTCTACGTTGGCGTGAAAAAATATGGGGGTCCACAAATTGTAAGTGGGGATCCACGAAAATTTATCTGGTTTCGATAGTAAAGAATCAATATGGTTGCTTGATAGCCTCATTATTTAACAATAATTTTTTTGAGAGGCGTATAGGCTTTTGACTAACTTTGTGTCTTCATACTTGGGGAATCCTTAAAGACCACCTGCAGACTAAAAATAAACAGATGTTGGTATAACACTGAGTGAGACGAGGCGGAAATTGCTGGCGGCAGAGATTTGAGCACTTGTGTCTTTTCAATGCTACAGGATACCTTTGTCGAAGAGTCTCTATAACGTTGAGTACCAGTTATAGTACTTCCCACTTCAGCCATCGAAGCCACCGTAAGAAACTTGGTGAATACTTCGATCAGCAATGACTGGTGGCATCGAGGGAATGCGGGTGGGCAAAACTCATGTTGACTTCAAACTCAGAAGTTCTATCTAGTTTTTTGCTCTCATTGAGTAGATGGACCTGCAGACAACTTCTAGAGCTGTGATAAACGTAAATGAGAACTTCATTTGCCCATCCTGCCTTGAAAAAAATGAGACGGTGGAACACTTTTTGCGCTTCTTGCTTGCTTGGTTGTTTGTCAGCGATTTTTCTAGATTCCATCTTTTCTCCATTTTCAGTTTCTGGATTTAAAGTTTGGCGTAAAGTGTTTACACATATTTTTTGCATTACTTTAAAACTCGGAGCGGTAAAAATAAAAACTACTTTACAAATACGCCACATGCAAATTCATGACAGATACGAACATATGAGGAGTTTATGGTGAAGAGAATGTAAATAACGCCAGCGCTCGGAGTGTTTAAAGATATGACTCTTCAGAGCGAGAGAGGGCTTTGATGGCTTTACGATCTCGTTTTTTTTAACTTGCAAGCTCATTATTTTAATTATTTATTATTATTTTTTTTATTTTATTTCTATTTTTTTCCACTCCGAATTTAGTTTTGGAACTTACCCACGATGCAAATTTACATCGGTAGATCTAATCTTCACATTTCACCAGTAAAGTTTTGAAAGGGGTTTACGAGAAAACAAAAAGGTTTAGGAACCTCTGTTATAGAGTGTGGTCGTACACTATGTCTCTCTATTTTCTTTAAAAGTAAAAAAATTATTATTTAGTAAAATTTTATAGTACATGTCCACTGTGCTAACTGTCAGTGTCAAATTTCATGCCTACACTGCGCAAACTCCACAGCTGTCAGCCATAAGTTTCAATGTCAAAGTATTCACTAATGGAATTTACATCTCACACAATACCAATCAGTTACTTCGAACGCCTGCTGCCATCAACTTGTCTCAAATACGGAAAAACAGTGAGTTAATCAGTGCACGGGAAGAAAAAAAAAGTAGGAAAGCATTGACCGCAAATGCACCTCCGCCACCAACTTATACAAGAGAACCAATAAAAATAAACACAGTAACAACTAGTGTAGGTTAACAAAGAAAACTTAGAAGGAAATGAAAAGAATAAATGTAGAACTAAAGAGTTTACAAATAGAAGTGAAATAAAACAATGGAAAAGTCAATGAAAAGAAAAATTCACTGTGCGAAAAATGTGCAAAGCCAACCCCACACAACTAAGGCAGAGACCACAGCTGCTTGCACAACATAACGAAATTGCAATACATAATCAGAAAATGTGCACACAAACATACTTCGCACTTACATACACACATGCATATGTATGCATATGTATATCGTTGATTCTCTGCAATAACGACACAACTTAGAATTCAAAAAATAAAACCCTTACTACTGTTAAGTGGCTCACGTGTCTAATCCTTGTTTAGTCCGTGTCGAATTCTAACCAAAGTTAGAAGTAAGAATTGCTAAAGTAAGTAGGAAGGATCAGACATGGTATATGGTACTCAGGGTTTTTATTTTTTATTTTTTTATTGAATTGTGCTGTTTTTGCAGAGGACCATAGATATGTATGTATGTATGTATATGCCTTAGCAAATTAAAAAAGCCACCCATATTCCACACCCTTCAATGGTTTAGATACCAAAGGTGCAACCCACTGAGTGAGTAGTTACGTGGAGGCCTACATATCCACATGTATGTATATGTACATAAGCATGTGTGTGTGTTTGTTTAGTGAAGAGAAACGATAAGGCGCGTGTACACATACACACTCATGTATAATACCATCGTTAGTTAGCCTTGATATTCTTGATGGACGGTTGCATGGTTCGTACGTTACTTGGTTTATTTGCAGTGAGGGACGTAACGGCACTAATGGTGTTTGCTTTTACTGCTCTGCAATACTACTCTACATGTGTTTATGCTCTGTGTTTGCATTTGTGCTAAAAACGTGTTGTCAGCTGAGGTCACAATAGTGCAACCATTCCTGACTGCAGCAGTGTTGCGTTACTTTTTTGTTTGGTAACTTCTTTTAAGTTTTAAATATTTCACACGAAAATAACTTTTGCTGTAGTGAAAAAAAAACAAACAGCATAAAATTATTAAAACTTGAAAAAATAATATGCTTCGGCGTGTTAAATAACCATGAATCGATCGATGTGCAAAAACAAGGACAAAAACCAAAAAAAAAAGCAATCATACCACAGATCTGTGTTACTCATCCGCCATAGCGTACTGCAAAAGACATTTCATTCCGCTGCTGCTCGCTTTTCCCCCGTTAAAAACAGCTTAGCTACTTGGTTATTATTGGAAATTTGGGAATTGGAAGATTTTGTTGCTTGTTACATTTTAAAAAGTGTGGCCACCTGTTTGAAAAGTCAAATTTAAGTAAATTATTTGCAAGCTATGTATAAGTGGCGTGGTGGTAAGCAGTACGCGATTCCACTCAGCAGGGCCTGGGTTCAAGCCCTGGCCAAAGCAACATCGCAAAAAAAATTTAGAAAAAAGGTCAATTTTTTTGTCTTAACAGCGGTCACCTTTTGGCGGGCAATGGCAAACCTCCGAGTGTATTTCTGCCATGAGAAACAGCTTTTCATCAAAATCAAATCGCTGTTCAGAGTCGGCGTATCACTGTAGGTCCCTCCCCTTCGTGTGACAACATCAAGGCGCACGCCTCATATAGGAGGAGAAGCTCGGCCAAATACTTACATATGTTTAAGCGCCAATCTATTATTATCGTCAAAAAGACAGACTTATTTAATGAAGAAGAAAACTTGTTTAATTTTAAATATAATTTTTTTTATACTTTTTTCGTATGCTATACATAGTTCTTCTGTTGGTTCCTTGAGGGGCCGTAACCATACGCAGGTGTCCACAGATCCGCAATGTTTTCTATACTAATTTTCCCTAGTGCTATGAGCACCTAAAAACTTAAATTTATTATAAATTTGCAATTGACACAGATTTGTTAAAAAAATATTTAGTCATTTGAGACTCAAAGCTAAAAATGTCAATAGGGAAAAACATTTCTTCTGTTAGTACAATTTCAAAGCTTTCTTGAAACTACTATATGTATTTAGCAGTTCCCTAACTACCGTACATTGCTGCTTAATTACAATTTTAATTCGCATAAACCCAATAAGAGTACGAACTTATGCGTCCTTGAAAATGTTATCACGCATTAGTTATGCAGAATTTTATTCTGCTCTTAACAGGCACGAGACACACTTATCTCTTGAAGCGACTACGACATAGATTAGCTAACTAAAGCACACACAGCTGGCTGGCATTAAGTATAGAGATTGTTTGTATGTCACAAAAGTGCGTTTGTGTGCCACAGATAAACTGTCAAGCCCTTAATCTGACTTCGTAGGTACTTGTCCTCCTTTTTAAAACATATCTACATTCATATGTACATTAGGGTGGTCCAAAATAAGTAAAGTCGTTATTTAAGGCGCTCACCCCCTACGTTTGATCTATATCGAAAAAATTTCGCATATATTTTTATTTTGAAATCAAAAAATATTTAAGACTAAAGATTTTTTATTTATCCCCCATTGCATTTTCGGGGGGTTTTGGCGGACTTAGAAAATATAGTTACTATGCAAAAATGATAAAAAAAATAATTGGGTTTTATTACTGGGAGTTTTCTGATCGAAAAATATTGATTTTTAAGAATTCTACACCATTTCTGCGAAAAATTGAGCTTCCCCATATAAAATACATGGTAAACCTTGAGTGCGTTGAGCGACCTCTAAATATTTTTTGATTTCGAAAATAGGAGTAAATTTGTTTTCCATATAGAATAATCCTAGTGGGTGAGAGCATAAAAATTCCGACTCTACTTTTTCACATGCATTTTTAGACCACCTAATGCACATATACAGCGTGCCAACGAATAACTTTTACACACATTTTTTTTTGAGAAATAAAAGGGTCCTTAATAGGTTTTGCGAAAAAAGTTATTTTCTTGTTAATTTTCCACAGATTTTACTTTAGTTGTATTAATTAGTTTTAAATTTTAATATTTGTTTACATTTGCCAGCAGTGTAAACTTTGAGTGAATAGTAATAGCAATAGCAAGTCTTTTTCAGGTGTATTTTCTCTTAGGCTTTGTATAAAAAAAAGACAATAAAAAAGAAAAACTATATAGGGTTGGCCTAATGAATGGCCGTCCTAGTCACCAGTTCCTAGTCTATTCTAGGGAAAAACTTAGCCTATGGTAACACAAGATATGGAATAAATTAACTGACGAAGACCTGCGTGCCGCTTGCGCTATTCTCTCAAAGTGTTTTCCGCTGGTAAACCCAAATAGAGGTTAAAATTTAAAAACTAATTAATAAAATTTAAGTGAAATCTGTGGAAAATGAACAATAAAATCCTCTTTTCCACAAAATCTATAAAGGACCATTTTATTTTTGAGGAAATCTTAGTAATAGTTGTTCGTCGCCACCCTGTATACAAAATGCAAGTAAGCAGTGCCACACTTTTTCATTCGAACTTACATACATACATTTAACTGCTCCTATGAATTCATATGTAAGCCGGTTATGTGTGCAGATTCTGTGTTTTAGGGTGGATGTATGTATGTACATATGCCGAATTCTGCTGACTTACAATAAAAGTTAGATTGCTATACTAGCAATAAATTGTTACTAAACAATCGAGAGTTAATTTAAAAAGTAAGTATGTTACAGCCAAAGCGCAGTGCGGGTGTTCAAACTAGCCTGGTTACCAGATTATCAGGTTATGTGGTTATATTTTGTATTCAGTTTACAACAATAAAATACACTACAGAATAATAATTTTCAACCACAAAACCTGTTAAACCACACTGCAATAGTTTCAAAATACTCCAGTACTAAAAATTTCAAAGACAATTCATCGATTTTGAAAAATCAAGAGAAAGAGAGAAAAGAGAGAAAACTCCCAGGGTGTTCCTGTTTAGAATCGGCCTGATAGTATCTGCATACCCATTGTTTTCATTTTTCACGTTGACGAAGAGTTTAACACGATTTATTATTCTATAAATAATCGTATGCAAGCCTAAAAAATGGTTACGATTGAAGATTAAAATAAAAAAATAAAAAACTTAAAAATTTTTTTTTTCAAATTTCTCGTTTGAAGTAATAAATTGTATCCGAAATTTTGCTTTTTCGAGCTCTGGGGAGGGCGATCGCCCTCATTCTGCCCGCTCAACTTGAACAGGCTGCACAACAAATATACAAAAATGGGTAAATTTTTAAACCTCTGAAATTATGGACGAAGTTAATGCTCGGGAGGTACAGATCTACAAACCGAATGCGCAGGTTATGTATATTACCCTGAGAGTGAAAGAGTCTATAAGCTTCAATCGAATACATTGTCCTCGGCGATGAGCTTTGCTGTAAATAGGTAAGCCTATTGCTAGATTATAATGTATAATAGAGGCAGGTCTAGAAGCACCTCGAGAGCTGCGGTTAGTGTGGCCCTTCGATAGGTGCAGTTTAGTAAAATGTTACTTTTCTTAGCTTTCTTGGCGTTAACGATTGGCACGAGATGAGGGGTGGTATTTTTAAACCGACCTCTGATTGGCATGGGATTAACGTCCGTGCACCGGACGCAATTGTATATCATTTAGATAGTGTTCTGTGATATAGAAACCTCCTCTATATCTGGAAACAACCTGGAGTACCTCTTTGTTCCCCATGGACTTCTCAATTTTCCTTGGGATATTCTGAAGTGTATTTACCTAATTAAGTAGTTCCAAGGGAGAATTAAGAATGTGATTGTTTTATTTTTTTAATTTAACTTAAGACTAAGTAACTATGTATGTCAGTACTTACATGTATGTGTAGCCGTCTGGCTTACTGGTTGTCTGACTTTTCGGTTTGCCAATAGAATTTTCCTTCCAAAAATTGCAATTTCCATATCATTTTCTGCAAGGATTTTCATTTCCTTCATTTACGATTACGTCGCAATTGCATGAACTGGGTCAAGATACAAATAAAAAACTCAAAAACAAAGAAAAGTGAGAAAGAGCCAGAAAAAACTAGGTATGTATTAGAAAGATAGTCGTGGCGACTGCTTTGGCACACACAGACTTTGTCAGCAACAACAATATTTATACAAACAAGTAACATAAAAGTGAGGCAAAAGATATGAGTAAAAGTTAAAATACGCAAAGTGCAGCCTACGGAAAACTTGAGAATCCATGGCAGAATATTTATTATGCTTTTATATTAGCTGAAATAATAAAAAAAAATATTTATGTAATACATAATAATTATGTATATACATATGAAATCCACATAAATACGGTTAAGCTTGGCTTTCATCTCTTGCACAGACATTTGCCAATTATTTGTGAAGGGTGGATAAAAAATCGCGCAGGAATTAAAACAGAAGGGGTCTTCTTTTTTTCCCCTAGAAAATGCTTTAACATCAAAAATACATTATACACCGTATTCTATCGTTCAATAAAATGTTGAATGGCTTTTCTAGTGATTTTCATGCAGCGCCCCGGACTGACCGCTAAATGTTTGTAAGACCTTAAAAGCGTTTTTCTTTAAATTGTTTTTTCCCATCCTTCCAGATACTGCTTCAAGAGCGCGCTACTATTTTTACAGTAGATTTGAAATTAGATTCTTTAGCGTAGGGAGCGAATATTCAAAAAAATTTCCGGACGTGTCTTTCTGGGCCATGAAATTTTTCTTCTTCGTCTTGAATTTCCTCGACCGAGTTTTTTTTATCCATCTTTTTTCGTATGCTCCGGTGATTTAGTTTTCAAATATTTTTGTTCCAGCTCTCAAGTTGCATGATAAGTGTCCGACCGTGGCATGTTTTCTCAAAAAAGCGAGTTTAACGATTTACTCTAACGCCGACATAATTTGTATTTTTATTCAATATAAAAAAGTTGTCTGCATTTACATACATATATGTACATATATTGAATAGCCTCTCCAAAAATAGTTCCCAATCCAAAAAAAAAAAAAATATATATAGAAATATATAGTCCCCGCCCTACCCTATGAAACCTTTTGTTTAGGTGACCTACAACACCTTTGCCTAAAGTTATACTAGTTACATCGGTTTTGTTATGTTTTGCCCATTTATAATTTATATTCAACAATTTAATTGCTCTCAACGCAAGTATTCAGCTATGATTTTGTAAACTCTAGCTAAAGAAAAGCGTTATTTCACAGGCTAATAGACGATAGTCTGCAGAGCCTACATATGGGCAGGTGCGACCGTCCCTCCAATAAATTTTCGGGCCAAGAGAATTAGTTATCAGTTGGATGACTTCTGTCACAGCTGCAGCAATTTAGTGAAATTCTAGAGAGAGCGAGAGTAGAACATTATCCATGTCACTGTCTCGCATTAACTTTGGCTTGCCGATATTCGTTCTCTCACTACTTTCTTGTGTGTCTGTCTGAATTAAGAGTAATGATTAATTGAGCAGCGATAATTTTGTGACCTTCATATTGAAGGACGAATTGGTGTCAAGTGGGAAAGTAGATTTATTGATGAACGAATTCGTTTGGTAAAATAAATTTACCCAGCGATTTTAGCTCTTTGCACTCCTTTGTGTTTGTTTTCTTGCTTTTCAAGGTCTACTGCAGCCGCGTAATTGAAAAACCTCTTCCACTCTTTTCGCCAATATATGCACCATTTAATGGTTTTCTTGTGCGCCAGTGTGTAGTTTTTTGACACTAGCCGCCAGAAATAATTTTCAATGCCAAATTTCTTAATTTTTTTTTTTTTGCTCTGAACTAAAATAAAAATGGTGCTACTCAGTGGCCTGTTATATAAAATACATACTTACATACCTATATATTTACAAACATGAACAAGAGCACTTTAATTGAGTGTGTATGCTACTTAAAACACAGAAACGCTGCAGGAAATCGGGCAGCAGCTCAAGCGTCACGGTACGAGCCTATTCGCAAAGGCTTTTAAGCTGGCACTGTCCTGTTGGTTATGGCGATGACGATTGACCCAATGCATTTTTATTTTTTTATGAATCTTAAAATAATATTATTTTTAACTTCAAATGCCACACAAGAACTTGTTTTCAACATCCAATCAACTGCTTCGTGATTCCTATGGGGCATATCAAGTGAAACTGCCTGAAAAAATACAAATGCATGTGTGTGCATGGCATTGCGATTTTACATACGTATGTATGTATGTATGCATACTGCATTTGTATGTATTTTCGCACTACTTAAAGCTTGCGTAAAAAAATAACATTGCATAATCTCAGGCGCTGTGACTGTGTACATACGCAACAAAACGCCCAAATAAATGCCAATAAATGTGATGTGAACAAAATAAATCAGTGCATTGAAATTATTGAATAAGGAAATAGTGGTTAATCAGCATACATATGTACATAGATAAGAGTGTTTAAATCGAGAATTTTCGAAGAAAAAAATGCAACGAGATGTAATGCACCATAAGCAAAAAACCATTCAGCGCTAACAAGCTTGGGAAGCTTGTCGAGGTTCCAGTAAAGCGACAAAAAATCAAAGATAGCGTTGCAATTTTGGATGGATCATGGGTAAATATAAAAGTTTCATTAATTGCATTTGTTTCTAATAACAGAATGTTAGCAGATTAATAATTTTTTAAATGAAATTTATGTACAGTAGTGCAAAAAAGAACAGTTTAGGAAACACAACTGCCAAAAGCTGCTTAGAGTGTATTTTATGCAAATAATAACTATTACATACTTGTGTCTATAACTATTTCTTTCTTACTTTTCTTGAAAATATTTACATACATAAATAATCATAAATAATAAATTTAATATTTTCAAGTAATTTTCTATACAACCCTAAAACACTCGAAAAAAAACTGTGAAAATGTTAAATGTTATAAAAAAACAACACACATAAACAAAATTGATACAGGTAAATTAACTTTCACATATTTACTCTAAAACGAAACTTTAGCTTTAATTAACGCAAACTAAAATGCCAATTGACTTAAGCCATTTCATTTCAACAGCATTCGATCTTTCATACATATGTCGGATATTCATTCACATCACATTTTCATTTCACAAATGTTGCATTTTAAAATTCATCAGCGTTTTTGTTTTGTTACTGGTTTTTAATAATTTTTAGCAGTTTTTGATATTGAAATCTGTCGCTCTTGAATCAATATTCGACAATGGGGTAGGTTGGCTTCCTTCATAGGTGGATGCGCACAATTAACCGTCCTTTGTGTTGTCATTATGAGAGGGAACGGATGCAAAGGAAAAGGAGAAGGCGTGGAGTCTAAGGGCTTGTGGTAGAAAAATGCTTCGTTCTCACACCAATAATTTCTATTCCTGAAAGTTCATCGGGAGTGAGATAGTAATGAGACGAGTGAATGTTTAAATCTTAAACCTTAAGCTAGCTAAGGCAGGGCAGCTGAGTAACAGATGTTGAGATGATTCCACCTTATCGTCTTTCATACATCGGCTCCAGTAGGCGCCTAAGGTGATATGAGCTTTTCCGCATGAATTTCCAAAAGATAAGGACCAGTTAGAACTTCCACCAATAAAGCTTTTAGGGGCTTCTTTTCTGCCATTGCTTAAACCGTGGCCAGAAGCAGCTAGCAAAATTGAATTCCAAAGCTTTCGCCCAACGTTCGCTGAATTCAATAAAAGCCCATCTACCCAGAAGCAAACCACATATAGCCAGTGAAGCCACTTTTATTTCCTAACTCGATGGAAATTCCTGCGATATTCGTGTGGCCTGGAACCCAAATAATCTTAATGGAGAAGTTATATATTGCGAGAAGTCAGGCCTTCTCCGATCGTTTTCGAGTAAATCATCAAAAAAGCGATGGACCCTGAGTGCCATATGACTATCAGAATGTTTCTAATAGTTACATAACATTCTTAAAATTTATTTGCAACCATTCCGTCTGCTGCTTCCTCTCCATCAAGCTTCGATCCATCGGTGAATAAGTTCTCAGCCCTATGATTCCTGATACTGCATCTCGCTACTTTTTTTCTGGTTGGGATGTGGGTGATGAAGGATCCACAATTTGGGTCGGAATGAGCTCGATGCTTTTTAGAACTCCGTTATGTCCCAAGCTGGAAGTGAGCTTAAAGCCCACGTTTTTCACCTAACTGCAGAATTCGCAGCGGCTGCTATGCCTCCTATATACAGGGTATCCTAGACCACCCGTCCAATCCCTTTAAAATACAGAGAAATGTTTTTTATTGAAAACCCCAAAATATGGCCCATCAAATCAAGGACTCTGTATCTTTTTTAGGTATTACCGACTTCCGGATTCCACTTTTTTAAATAACCAATAAAACGCGATATTTTGTAAATTTGATAAAAAGGAAACGCCTGCTCCAAGATGGGCTTGAAAAACTTAAATGTAGAGGGGGCTACCAGCGCTTGAAATGTTCATTTTTCACCAATTTCGAAATTTTGCGTAAAAGGATTTTCGATAACCAAGGTCATATTTTTTGCAGAAAAACAATGTGGTTTCTACACCAAAATTTAACGTTGAAAACGATGGAAAAGCTGTTTTTTTTTTAATATTACTTACGCCCCGCAATGTCGCATTTTTGAGATGGAAAATTAAAAAAAAAAAACGGGTTTTCTAATTTCACATTCTAATCAAACGAAGCAACTAGAGTTTTTTGGAGCCGGTATATATGCTTTGCGAACATTTATACGTCCTAAACATAATGGCGAAAGCTTCATATAAAAAATTATTATTTTGGACATTTTCGCAAGATATATTCATTTTAAGTTTGTTAATGAAAAAATGCAACTTCAACAGGGAAAAAATTTAAAAGTAAAAGATTTTTTCTAAATTATTTTGATTTGTGTTAAAGCCTGGTCCTTTACAAAAACAACAATCTATCAACGAGCTGATTGACAAATAAAGTTGTAAATCGTCAAATGAAAATGCGTAATACATAGTTTATTGATATGGTGTATGAGTAACATTCTTTCCTAGCCATATTTCATATGGACTTGCGATCGGTTTAACCCAATTCCGATCGAAACCGGAAATCGGTAATGCATACCACCAAAAGATAGCGCATACCTGTTTTGGTATGTCACATTTCCTGCGGTTTTTTAATCAAAAACATTTCCCTACATCTTAAAGGCGGTGGTCGGATTGTATTGGACACTCAGTACTTGGGCACAATGCTCAGTATTGCGTTAAGTGCTTTCCACTCTTTTCATCTGCATAACAATGGTTGCCTTGTCCCATACGCGCTACCAAACCCTCGGTGAGAGACCCAACCCTTACCAAATTTCTTTCTGACCCTTCTCAGGTAAGCTTGTAGTCAAAATCATGCTTTCACGTTCAGAGAGTGTTATTGGAAAGCTTACCACAGAGGAGGGTTGAATATTTGGAATTGCATATCTCCTTGTGAAAATAACAAGCTCGACTTTGTTAGCGGTTACGCCGAAGCGGTAGGTAAAAGCAAAGTTTTAAATTTAATTTACTTTAACTTTATTTCTTCGTACAGGGTGCCTTAGTAATTTCCTTTAGCTATAGGTGCTACATCGTCAGTATAGGCAGCAACCAGCTACCAGGTTGCCTTTCTTCAAAATTTTCACTTTTAAATTTCTTTAAATTTCATTAAATTTATTCCACGCACTATGCGCCGTATAAAAATATCTTCTGATTGCCTGCCTTGTATTACTCTTACTTTTTATTTCATTTTCTTATTTTATTGTATTTCTTATTAATAATTCACATTCACTGGAAATACCCCAAGCGATAGCGAGCGAAACCACCAACAAACCACACACACTTTACCTTAGGGGTTGAGTTTCATTTCTAAATACATATCTAGTCTTCACGCATGTCTATTCTATGCATTGTTTCTCTTTAAGAACTATCTATTATCTACTATGTACCAGTATTAATGTTAGATGTTCGTCTTAATATTCTTTTGTAATGCCAACGCATATATGCATATATATGTAGGCTATGTAGCGAAAACCCAGCAAAAGAGCCTACGCAAATTCGTAAACACATATTTACATACACACATATCCGTGTATACCAACATACTATATGTATGTATATGGATGTAATATGTACATTCCTACAACTGCGTACTAAACAGCTTCCTCACATAAAATGAACTTTTGTGTAGAAATATTGCTTGCGGCGAAGCAATTTTCGCCCACCCAAAAATTTTTAACACTCCTACATATGTATGTACTTATGTATGTGCAACTTCTTTTGAGCGTAGGTGCTATGTATATTATGTAAAATGTTGTTGCACTTTGTATTTAGATACTTTCTAGCAACTGTTGCATGTTCGCTTACCACGCATGCTTTATGTACGTTCATACTACATATTTTGTATCTACCATAATATCTAATCATATCTAATCATAAATATCATTTTTACACCCGAGGGCACTTGTGCACAAGGGTATTATAACTTTGTTCACATAAAGGTTGTTTGTAACAGGCAAAACGATTCGAGATAGATATGGACAAATGTATGTATACATAAATGATCCGAATAAAAAAGGAAATCGTTTAAGCGGTGACTGTCTGTCCGTCCGTCCGTCCGTCAGTCCATCTGTGCACACGATAACTCGAGTAAAAATTGAGATATCTTAAGGAAACTTAGTATATGTACTTCTTTTCAGCGTAGGACGGATGGTATTGAAAATGGGCAAAACCGAACGATAACCACAAGAACAGATCGAATAAAGAAACGGCCCCAAAACACTTACCTGCGGTGCGCCTGATTTTATTTCATATATTTAAGCACTCATTTCCAATCCCAACATAAAATCGTCTATCATTTACATAAGATTTAATAAGATAGAAAAAGGGGGCAGGTAAATATTTCTTTAATTTACATAGCAATCCGGGTTGCCAGACTTCATCAAATGCTTTTTGCGCATCAAGGAATGCCCCTGTTCAACATTCTTGTTGTTCTAGAGCTGACCTTATTTTATTATACACTCTATGGCATTGTCCAGGACTTCCGTGGTTTCTCCGAGATCCATGTATGTAACTCTGCGCTCGTAGGCAACGAGGTCGCTGACTAGTTGGTGCGAGAAGGATCCTTAACGGCCTTCTTAGAACCAGTACCATTTGGGGTCTTAATCAGTCCTCTTTGAAAACCATAATTACTGCGTGAGTACCTCTGAACGCAGTAAGTACTGGTAGGAGGTGTGGGCAATAGACAGGCAAAACTATTTGGCTACCCTTTAAATAGAGCTTATGTTATTTAAGTAAACCGAAATGCCATCACACTACTCGCCAGGTGTCTAACGCACTACAACCAACCATGTTTTCATATAAACCGAATGTTATTGGAGAATCGGAATGCCGGATGTGCCTCAAGGATGAGGAAACTTCCGAACACATTCCTTGTGACTGTCCAGCTTTGACAAGAAATTGATTGACTTACCTGAAAGCTGCTTTGTTAAAAGCCCTATAAATTAAGATTTGGCATATTGTAAAATACCTGCTTTGCTATAAATAATCAACATTAAGAAGGCTAAGGGTTCGTTTTGCGATTTGGAGCCATGTAGTTTGATGAAACTTTAGCGAGAAACT